GCCCGCGGCCCCTTCCCCGCGTCCCCTCAGGGGTCCCCGCCGCCCGCGGCGCCTTCCCCGCGTCCCCTCAGGGGTCCCCGCCGCCCCTCGGCCCCTTCCCCGCATCACCTCAGGGGTCCCCGCCCAACCCTTCTGGCCACCCCTGAAGGGGAAACGGGGTCTCTGCACAAGGAGGAGAAGCCGGGGAAGAGCCCACCCTTCCCTCCTCGCGGGCTCTCCTACCCCTGTGGTGGGGTTGTCACCGGGCTGCAGCGGGAGTTGGGAGAGAGCAGCCTGTCCCCCTCCTCGGGGGTCCGGGCTCCGAGCCTCCTGCCACAGGTCCCCGCAGGACCGAGCCCGCTGAGCTGCAGCGTGAGGCGTGCACCCGGAGCTTGCTTTCTTTTGCTGCCTCTGGGCACTGTCACCTCTGCTCCCCCCTTGGCACCTGCAATGGGAATGGGGCTCTTGGCCCTGCTCCCTGGGGCCGACCCTGCCAACGAAATGTCGTGCGTTTTGTGTCTTTATTTAGGGCCTGGGCAGCTTGTTCTCTCCGTTTTGGTTACTTCCAGGGCCCCTCTCACCTTTGTCTGTGCTTGCCAGTTGAAATGCATTTGCAGAGCCTCTTTCTCCAACCTCAGACCTGCTGCCGACCCAGCCCAGAGCTCTGTTTCTTTTTCTTTTTTGGGCCATGAGGCCCCGCGACCCAGCCGGCCAAGCAGGTCTTGCCTTGAGCGCAGCCTTTCTGCATCGAAAGCTGTGAGGGGACCGATGCGTGTTGCAGCAAGGTACAGCGTGGAGGAAGACTCGGTGCCTTTGGCAAGCAGCACGGCCGCGATGGGATTGAAATTCTGTGCATGTCATAACAGATCATTGGCTTTTTAAAAAGCAAATGTAGTGCTCCGGAGAGGTTGCCAGCTCCGTGGTCTGGGAGCCTGTTTGTCTCCGGAGCGGCAGCCGTGTCGGCTCCCCGCCCCAGAGCTGCTTCGGCTCGCACCCCTACGTGCCATTTTTTCGGAGCCCCTCCATCCTTGGCCCTGCAGAGCTGGCCAGGGAGGGAGGCAGTTGCTGTCCAAGGTGGGACACTTGCCTGTTAGCACCCGGGCCGGGAGCACAAGGTGTTTCAAATGAGCCGCAGAGCATCCGGGAGGTGGAGACCAGTTCCAGTTGCTGTTTTGGGCTTGGCTTCATCTCTGAAGCCATGGCCGAGAGAAATGGCCCTGCACCCTGTTAAGCACTGACCTGTCACACCCTCCTTCCTCCTTGCTCGAGGCCTCCGGTCCCCAGCCAAGGTGGTGACCAGCCGCGAGGAGCGCAGGGGTGGGGCCAGGCGACAGCGGCCTGCATCCCCAGATGAGGATTGGGCTGGCGGGGAGATGGACAGGGCCCATTGTGGCGGCCGCTCAAGATAATGAGAAGCTCGGAGAAAATCAGAGTGGCTTTTTATAGAGGTGGTGCCTGAACCTGGAAAGATTTCTGGGCTGCTTTGTGCTGCTTTCTCACAACGAGTTGAACCAGTGCAGTTCCCCTCCCCCCCTTGGCCTTTTTGTTGGGAGTAAGCGTCCCAGCTCTGCCCATGCCACTAATCTTCCTGCACTTGGACAGGCGCTGAATGGTATGGCGGGCGCTGAGAAATTGGTGTGGACCTGGTCCTCTGCCTGCAGATCCGGAGCAGCGCTCTGCCTTGCCCTGCAAGAGCCTGCTGCAGGTGGAGAGCAGGTCCCTGACTACCAGACCAGGCTAATCTGACGCAAACAAGTCTCTGGACGGAGCGTGGCCTCCTGCCTGGCTGGGGGAGGACGAGCCAGGCTTTTTCCATGGCCCTTCTCGTTGATACAGGTGTCCTCTGGGCTGTCGTCTTCTGACTTCAGTGGGTTTTGGGTCTGCAAGGGGCTGAGCTGGAGAGGGGCTGGACCCTCCCCTCGCAAATTGAGTGGCAGTTCAGCAGAAGTTGTGGGTGCTCTGCCCCTTGGCAATTATCCACAGAAAAAGCCCCGGGGAAGCTCGTGAGAGCCGTGCACAACTCTGCTCCCATTGCGTGGTATAAAAGGCAGACACGGCCGAGACCGTCAAGCGCTGTCGGGCCCAGCTCCAGGAGGAGATGGAGGGACTTCCCTCCCATTATGGCTCCCATTAAAAACAAGGGGTGCTGGCCCCAAGCTATGGGCTTGCACAAGTGCCTGCGAACAGTGTCACTGCTCTCTGCGCTGCATCCTTCGGGGGGGGCCAGAAGCAAATCGGTCTAGGAGCAGTGTGACCTACATGCAGGTCTCGTCCTAGCTTCTTGTCCGAGACCCTGAAGCACAGGGTTAAACACTCCTCCAGTGGGGTTTTTTGGGAAGCATGAACTATTCCTACTCTGGGCACCCTTGTTACCCATACAGATGTTGGCTCCCTCGTGGGCTCTTACCACCTTTTGGTCTCACTGAACATCCCCTTGTTCTTGTGTTGTGGGATGGGGAGAACAAAGCTGCCCCCGTGTCGCTCTGCGGACCAAGCAGAGGCTTGAAACCTATTCCCTCGGGTCAGGGGTCTGTACGTGTGCTGCCGAAATGGCAATATTGCACCTCAGCAAAGAGCGTTCATAGGTAGAGGAGCAGCTGACACTGTGGATCTTCTTCCTATGCAGGGAGGTTAAAGCCAGGCTCCAGGGAAGCAACAGTGTGCACAGCTGGAGCACAGCTGTCTTGACACCCCTTACATGGCCACTTGTGAGTGCCTGGGCTTTGCTGAGCTTCTCGCAGAGGTTAACGGGTGCGCTCGTCGGGGGCCATTTCTGATGAGGATGCATTGTATGCAGTTCAGACCTGACCCGCGGTGATCACTTAGCAAGAAACTATTAAACGCAGTCGTGGACTAATGAGCTGCTCGGGGAAAATGGCAGTTCGTTTTAAGAGCGGCATAATCATGTCATTCAAGTGTAAAACTCTAAATCGAAGGATTTTTTTTTTTCTTTAAAAAAAAAAAGAAGGAAAAAAAGAAAGCTGTGTTATAATTAGAGTTCAAGCCAGCTGAAGCTCTAGGAAGCTGTCTTCTTGCCTGACTGACACCTGGGACCTATTTCATGGTCCCTTCGGAGGCCAAATTACGCAAAAACGAACTTGGGAGGAGCAGGAGATCTCATGACACAAAGCACAGGCCGCGTTCAGGGACCTGCTCCCGGCTTGGCTGGGGGGTCTTGGAGAGAGGCGCTTAGCTCCTGTGTCCGCCCCTCCCACCCTGCATGCAGTGGGCCTGATCTAAGCTGGCTCTGAGAGCGGCGAGGGCCAAGTCGGCTGCAAAGCAGCTGGAGACGCGGCAGCTGGAGTCTTCTGCATTGATTTTCATACACGGTTGAATTTGCCCAGAAAAAGCTGCTCATTTCCAGCCTCTGGCTTGCCATCCAATTGACCTTCTTTGTGTCAGGAGCTGTCCAGCTCCACTTCAGAGCCAGGCTGGGGGCAGGTTTGCTGGGCAGCAATGGGCATGGGTCTCTTAGATCATGTCCTTACAAGCAGAGGACCACTGTCTCCCCTGGGTTTCGGTAGCTATTAATCTGCTGCGCTGCCGTGCTTAGGCACAGGCCTTGCTGCCTGCGTGAGCAGCCCTCGGTGCTTCGGTGGGGTTCAGGGCAGCTAGTCCCAGCTGCTGTAGTTGCGTTTCCCCCTAGGAGAGTCCTTCTCCTCCTGTTTTCCAAGTGGCGCCTGAATCCCCCCTTCTCCTTCCTTCTCTGCAGGTGATGCTGGTTGGCGACTCTGGGGTTGGCAAAACCTGCCTGCTAGTGCGGTTTAAAGACGGCGCTTTCCTGGCCGGCAGCTTCATCTCCACGGTTGGAATTGACTTCAGGGTAAGGTGCTGTCAAGCAGTTCTAGAAACCATTTCTCCCCCCAATTTCCCTTCTTGTGTGGTTGGAGATGCCAGCCTCTGTGGTTCTCGGGCGGTCGAATTTGATGAGCATCACACCCAGGGAATAATGAAGTGTCTCACCTTCGAAATGACCGGCTCCTCTCTTCCAGGGCACTGCTAGGGTTACACATCTGGGCACAGCACAGCTGGCGGGTTATTTGTCAGCACCAGCGTTGTAACGAATGCCCCCTAAATGAGGAGGAACGCATGCCTTTGATTGACCAACGCTGGTGACCTCCGGGCAATTGCAGTTACCACCTGTGGCTGCTCCATGGCTGGTTTGATGTATTGTTCAGGTTGCAGCGCCGTCCTCGCAGGTGTCGGACATCCCAGTGGGGCCGAATGAGCTGCTACCCTCCCTGGGAGGAGGGAGGTTTTGTGGGGGAAACTAATGTCTTTAGTGCTGGGAGTGGGAGGACAGGAGGCTATGGGCCAGGGGGCTCTGGTTCAATACCCGGCCTCCCCTGCCCCGTCTCTCCTTGGAGACAGGCCAGGTGGGGGATGTGCCCGATGGGAGGAGGAACCCATGCAGCCTCTGAACGCACATTGGTGGGGTTTGCCTGTCAGCCGTGCCCCCGGGGGTGATCCGCGGCTTGGAGACTGGCTAGCCACATGTGGGTCACACGAAGGAACCGGCTGCAATTCTTCCCTCCTCCCAGGCGCTGCTCTGTGTTGCCTGAGCACCAGGCATGAAACCACCGTCCTCATCATGTGTAGTTAAGAGGCTACGTGGCTCATATTCATGCACAGATACCTGAAGGTTTCCCATGCACCTATCTAAGTTCCCTCTCTCTCTTTTTTTTTTTCCATTGAACCCAGCTTCTTTCACCTCCTGGAGTGTCCCAATTGCCGACAAACAGCTGAAGTTTGCCTCCAGATTTAAATCATACATAGGCTTTTTATTATTTTTTTTAAAAACCAAAAGCCAGTTTTTATGCAAAATATTTTCATATGTTGAATAGCCCCAGCTCCTAAAATCCGTATGAGAGCCATAAATAAATAAAAACACCTTGCAATGTTTGCAAGTGAAGCTTTGCGCTGTTGTGCTAATGCATGAGACTGGGGAGCGGAGTGGAGTGGGAGCTGACTGTGAATAGATGGGGACCCCTGTGGTCTGTTTTCAGTGTCTCAGCTCAGAGATGCAAACAAGTAAACAGCCAGCCTCTGTGGTGCAGAGTCAATTAGACCATTAGAGTTTGTTCAGTTCGGGTAATCTAAAGTGGTGCGAAGAGCGAAGGGAAAGACTTCTGTTCTCTGAAAACGTAATAATAATCATTACGATGCTGCCGCAACCCCTCTCCCCAGAGTCGCTTGCCTTTGAAAAAGGCCTGCATGCTGTGATTTGAGTTGAGAGAGACCTTCTCGTGTAAAAATAGGACCCGCTGCTTGGGAACCTGTTGCCTCTGCAAGATCTTAAGATCTCTGGCTTATAAATCTGGGGCCGCTCTGTCGGTCTCCTGGCTCTAACTGAGTCTCAGCGTCGTTCTGCTTCGTGCTGGGGAGCTCTTGACTAGAAATGGTTGAGAACCACCGGTGTAAAAAATAATCTGCAGCAAAATTTTGCGTGCATCAGATGGCTAGATGATGGGGACCGTGCCTGCTCTCCAAGCAGTTCTGCATGCACGAGAGTTTCAAAGCTCCGTGTGACCCTGCTACCGTTGCTCACGGCATGGGGGAATAAATGTACAGACCTTTGCAGGGAGGAAGGAGAGCCCTGCAGAACTGCTGATGACTGGAGACTTTTCCTTCGCAATGCAAATGCCTTGATACGCCGGTGAGCAAAGGGAGCTGGGCTGCCTGGCGCTCCGGCAGGCATGCCTCTGGAGGCAGCGAGCAAACCTGCTGTGCAAATGTCTGAGCCGAAGCCACCCTGGCTGAGATGATCAGTATTGCAGAGCCATCGCTGCAAGAGATGGCTCGGGTGGGAACACGCAGAATGGGGAACAGCCTCTGGGTTCTCAGAAAGCGTGCTGGTTACCTGGCTGTCGAATGCAAAGGGATGGGCATCCGGCATGGAGAGCACAGCTGGGGGCAGCATGGGCGGGTCTGGGAGGACCGTCCCGGCTGATCCGGGGTGCCGCTGAGAGTAGCGTCGCGTGGCTGCGGTGCATGGTGCCGGTCCCCCCAGCCACGCTGCAAAGGTGGCGAGACTGCAGCCGGCTGGAGCATTCCCGGAGAGCGCTCTTTGCTTGGAAAGCCCCATCCTGCAAGAGCCTTTCCAAAGGCGCACACCTGGCTTTCCAACAGCATTTGGGTTCATTTGCATGCTTGATGCTAGTTGTGTGTGCATTCAGCGTTGGTGCCAGGTGGGCTGTAGCAGCCTAGGTTTTAGATGAACCTGGACAGGACTGCCCCTGGGAGCAAGATGCTTAAGAGCCCAGTTCTGGCTTCCAGGAGAGTTATAGCTGGGGCAGCAGTAAGAGGCCTCTCCCTAGCTATGCCTTGTCTTTGCAGAGGTGCAGCCCATCCCTGCTCCGCTGGAGGGACGGTGCATTTTGGGGCGACCCTGGGGTACACCATGCTCTGCCTGGATGAGCTCCTACCCCGGGGAGGTGGAGATTTCCCTGCAGCATTAGTCTCGCGGTGCCATTTCTCAGCGCAGCACTGGGGAGAGTGGCCTTGTTCCCTGACACTGCTTGCAAACACCGCCTGGTTTATCTTTATATCATTTTGTGCTATAATTAAGGGAGAGCGGTCTGGGGAGAGGAGACTCTACAGCAATAAACGTGGCATTTACTCTCTTGTAAAAGCTGATGAGAAGCCGTTTATTGCCCAGGGAGCTGGAGCCGGGAACGCCTTGTACATCCTGCCTTATTTGTTTTCCTTGCTATGGCGTCTTGCTTTACACCAGGTTCTCCGCTCCTGGCCACAGCGAGGGTTGACCCAGCAGTGGGAGGGAAGGATGCGGTGTTTGCATCCAGTGCACCAGGCAGGCAGCTCCTGTCTGTGGCCGTCTCGGAGAAGGGCTCTGCGTGCTGATGTGCACGGCTTTCATTTCTACTAAGCTTCTCTAGGTCAGTGATTCTCAACCGGGGCTCCTCCGAGATCCTTTGAAGGGTGCCTTGACACGTGAGGAGATGAGCTGAGATGCGCAGGCTTGGGCTTTTGTCTGCTCAGCCCCTCCGCACGGAGGTAAGCGCTGCAATAAATACGTGGTGCTTGAAATGGGGTACGGCTCAATCCACATGAGTTATGGAGGGGGTTTGAGTCTGCTGAAGGGCGCCTCGGACCTAAAAAGGTTGAGAACTGCTGCTCTAGGTTTTGCACTCCTGAAAGGAAGCTGCAGGATGACTGAGCAGGGGTAGGATGAGTGTGATAAATGGTGCCCACCTGGCAAAGACCAGGGCATAGACAAAAGGACCATGCGGTTCCCGGATTGCTTGGATTTCTTGAGCCCAGCCAGGTATCAGGAGCCACAGGGCAGAGCTCATCCAGGGGTAGAGCGATTTTTCACATGCTTTTCAGCATAGGTATTTTGCCATCGACATACTCAAGTGCTCTGGCCCGTTCTGGAAGGGGCCAAAACACAGGGGAACGAACTTAGGACAAAAGTCAGCCTCCCCCCTTTGGTTTTTTGAATTTTTTGAGAGTGCATCATTGGAAAGGGCCTGTTTCTGGTCCTCCCTAGTGGGTAGTGGCTGTGGCACACGGATAAGTTGCTGTGTGATAAGCCAGGGTGTGAGCCTGCACCATGTGAGCTACCCCACAATACATGCATGTGTGCACACCTGTTTCCTGCAGCAATTGCACTGGAGCATAGCCCTGTCTCTCTGAGGAGCAAGCTACCCCACCCTGATCAAGGTGGAAGAGCATGCATACGGGCATTTATCCCAGAATAGCTCATGCACGGTAAATTCACAACTCGCTTCACCTCTTGGTAAGCGCTTGGATCGCTGCCCTCCCAGGAAAGCTGAGCCAAGCGTGCAAGGGATGGGGGCAAGAGTGCATGTGAGCAGGCAGTAAAGGCCGACTGAATGAGTGCTCATGGAAAAGGCCGAGAATCGCAGAGACCTTTGGACCGAGCATATGGGTGTGCATGGGGCTGGCTTCTTTGTTTCCTTTCCATCCAGACAGATGCTGTCCGGGAGTGTCACTCTGCCGTGTTCCCGCAGTCCCGGTTTATAGCCACAGCTGGGGTTGATTTATTTTTTCCCTCCAGCAGAACCCATCGTTGGCACCGTCCATGCACGCTGCTGACATCTTGCTGCAGTCGGGCAGGTGAAAGCAGCCTCTGCCCGGCCAGCAGAATACTTCCAAATAACAGCACAGTGATTCCCTTTGAAAAATCCCCTTTTAGCAAGGCTTAGATGTTTGAGGCCTTCTCTCCGCGGTGGCTTTGCTGACAATTTCTGTAATAGGGAGCCAAGATTGAGCCTGTTTCACAAATAACATCCCCGTTCGTCCAGTCACTTTGGAGACAAAGCAGCCGCCTCTGAAATGGGTGCAGTGAGTTCTCCCTTGCGCGGCGCTCTGCTTTCTCCCAGGCACAGCCAGGGGAAATAAATCAGCGTAGCTCACCCGAAATCAATAGGTCGGAGTCTGCTAATACTGGCTGAAGAGCTGGCACCATAGCCCCATGCGAATGTCCCTGCTGTCCCCCCGATGAAGGGGAGACCTGGAGGGGGAGTGTGTTGCATTGCCCGCTACTCTTCTCTTAGCAGGCTCCAGGTGAGGAGGGTCTGCGTGGCTGGGCCGTCTCCTGGGCCGCGGGATGTGGGTGCTCAGCGGCTCCTGAACTTGCAGATGTGCAACAAGTCGGCGGTCTCGAGTACTAAAGCAGCAGTCATCAGCTGCCTTCTCCCCCAGGCTTGCCTTGAGAGACTCCCGGCATCTTATTATCTGCCCCTGAACCATCCATTTCTCCCGAGCGTACGAATGTCGCGGTATCTTGAGATGCTTTCTGCTCATTCGATAGCCTCCGGGTAAGCACGACGCAATCCC